AGAAACGGATTAAATGAATGGTATTTTTTCAGATTTTGGCTGTGCCTAAAGGTCCATATGTTCCAGGCTTCATTCTTAAGTCATGATGACACACACACACACTCACGCACATACATACTCCCATACACCCACACACATACACGCACATGCTCACACCCACACACTCACACACATGCACTCACACATGCCCATACACATGCACGCCCACACCCCACACACTCACACACACACATGCACTCACACATGCCCATACACATGCACACACTCACACACACACGCACACACCCACACACACTCACACCAACATACACCCATACCACACATACACAGTCACACGCACCCACACACCTCCCACACACACGCTCACACTTACACACACACACACACACATCATGGAACATGCTTGCATAAAACATGAGGAATTCCATTTAATTTTAACCCAAAACAAGGCAAAGCTGGTTAAAATATCTGAGCAAAGAGGACAAATTTAAAATCCAAATACACTTCCTTACAGATGACTTACTCAATTCGATTGCCAGTAAGATATTTAATATTCTTTTCTGAATCACCCTAATTCAATATGCAGTATAGTGTGTACTGCCTGGAAGAAATTCAAATCATAAATACTAGAGAGAAATATCTAGCAGCTTGGAACTGACTTCTCAATGGCCAATCCGCACCGAGAGGCTGCACGAATGTTACATCTGGGGCAGTGTGAGCCGTGGAGCGGACGCGGCCACCTCCCGTCACACCCCCCGTGGTCAGCAGGGTGACAACGGCCAGCTGCAGTCGCAACAGCCGAGCGGACCTGTGATTTCTGCCCCTCCGGCCAATGCTGGGGCCAGGGTCGCCGGTGTGTGTGCGTCGCCGTGCGCGAGGCTGGACAGGGCCATCTGCTCCGCGTGCCAGATCCCAGATTCTGCCCGGTTACGGCGGGGCCTGGGAGCAGTGTCCGCGGAGCACGGGGCAGGATTCGAGTAAAGAGGGGCTAATGGCGTGCAGTTGGGAAGGTCAAGGAAACTGCCAGCCACTCGATGGAAAAAGGTGAAAGAAAATTAAAGGGAGATCGGGGGGAATCAAGGAACATGTAGGAGAAAAAGACCAACATCTCCGTTGCTCTAAAGGTCGAAGGGTAACCATGATGCGGGAAGGCGCTTCCGCCTCGCCAGGTTCACCAGTGAGTTGCATTTTGGCTTCTTCTATAAAGTTTGCGGCACTGGGGGGCGGGCTTGGGCCCCCCCTTCTGGGTTACAGGCTCTGTCTCTTCATCAGCACCCCCACCTGGGGCAGCCGTTTGTCTATCACACCCCGCACATCTCCAACCCCAGCCTTGGATTCTACTGATGGACTAATTCTGGTCGTCTGAGGTCAACCTCTGCATTTCTTCACTTACCAGCCTAAGCCTGCGAGGCTTAAGAAACACTAATAACAACTAGATCACGCTAGGCAATAATTCAAGTTTTATCATTCGAATATATGTGCGTGTACACAGAATATCTGTACGTAATATATATACACATATGTACGTTGTGTATGTATATCCATGTATGTGTGTGTGTAAATAAGTAAAAACTAGGATATTTAAGAGTTTTAAAATCAGATCACACATTTCTTTAGCCAAACGATACGTATTGAGGAGCCATGGCACTTTATTTTCATGTTTTACTTAGGGGGCGATCACTCCGTAAGTTATATAAATGTCTAATCACTATACTGTATGCCTGAAACTAATATAGTAGTGAATGTCGGCTGTAATTGAAAAATAAAAAAAATTGAAAAAGTTTTAAAAAATGAATTAAAAAAAAGAAAACAAAAGAAACAGGTGGAAAATTGGAAAAGGAGACATTTTGTATCAGAATGGTTATTCCCATGTGAACATTCCTTTCTTCCACAGAATACTAGTTCTATGTTAATAATGATTACCAAAAATGTTATTATGTGGTCAAATAAGCTTGAGAAACTTATCTTTAAAAAGACTGTGAGACTTCAGCATCTTTACTATGCGAAGATATAAGGTGAATCTCCAAGACTGAGAATATACAATGTTATCCTGCAAG